AGTGATGTGTTTTAATGTGGCATGTTCATCTGTTCTTTCTTTGTACCACCAGTCTGTGGTTGTGGGTAACTTTGAATATTGGAAAGCCATAAGCTCTCCCTGAGGAGTGAGGGTGAATGAATGAGAGAGGATGTGCTCTCTGTGGGGCATCAGGACACCAGAACACATGAAGGTTTGTGCTAGACCTCTAAAACACTGTTTTGAATGGAATACATTTTAGTCCATCCGTTTTCCTGTGCATCACCAAAAGCTTTCTTATAACTGCCTAGACAGCATAATAAGGTATCATAATAGGCTATTCCAAAATATATCTAAAATAACTTGCATTGGCCAAAATCCAAGGCAGAATCATGTGCGTGTTTAAGGAGAACACAATTGCAGAACGCATTGTGAGCTCTAAAGAAAATTCACAGAAGTCTGCAGACTAAATATAAATTATACTTATTTACTTGATTTTGAAAGCATTGGTGGGGGGAAAAAATCCATTATACTTGAACTGCACAGGCAACTAAACATGCATTTGATTTCAATACCTTTTGCTATTAGCATGTTGCTAAGCTAAATTTCATAGAGTTGGTATAAAATACAAATCCATCCAGCCTATTTTATAAATGCATGTTATAGATCTTTGAATAATTCATTTGTACATATGACCGTAACATTTAATCAAAATATCACGTACATCACAATACGGAAAAAAGTCTGTCACTTCTTTTAATTCCATTCCATCTGTGGGTGTGAAGGGGCCAATGGAAGGGGGATCCCAACTATAGGCCTCTCCCTCTCTATTGTTTAAACAATTGTAAGAAACAACACGTGCAAGTACTCTTGTGTTAAAACATTCAGCAAAAGAAAGATAAAAGGTTTTTTATAACCCATGAAAGTCTCCTGAAAAAATTCGATGTTTCAGAAGAGTCTGAGGTGTCGGTTTTATAAAGTTAATTTTATAGTAAAAGTAAAGTTTTTAATGGACAGTGAATGTCCTCTGATCATCCTCCTAATATTTTCTGACTGTTTTAAATTCAGGTTTGGTTGGAAAAGGTTTACTGGCAAAAATGCTTAAACTGAACTTTTAAGAATCACATCCTTATTTCACAGCTTCCATATGAAAAAGCATCACATCCGGTGGCTGTTTACTCCTGCAGGCTGTGCAATAGTTTCTCCACGTACATGTAAAACCAGACACACCAAAGTCTATAAAACAAGAGCATTGTGCAAGAAGCAGCTGAGGTGTTTGTGGCCACCTGGTTCAATGCACTTGCATTTTTCAGCCTTCCTTCTCTGGAGCTTCCGTGGTCCATTGTTTGTTCCAGCGGAGTCCATGATCACTCCACCACAAGCAGGAAAACATTACTTCCACTGTGGCTCATTCAGAAACACTTGCGGATATCCTATCCTAGTGTAGCGAGCTGTCCAGCCTGCTGAGGCATGATTCATTATTTGGCTCCTGTGTAGTTTGTCCTGCCTCCAGCTCTGTACATTAACATCGTTGATGCCGGTTATATTTTGGGGGTTCCTGTCCTTGTGATTAGTTTTCCCTTTTAAGCAGGAGTATCGGTGGTAGCAACATACTATTTTCTGCCATGTGCCTTATGTTGTGGCTTTGGGCCTTACCACGGCCTTAAAGCAAGCTGAAATTACGGTTCAATCTCCTGTAGACCATGTGCTAAAGGACATCCCTCCATTCATCAAGAAGCTCCTGGTCCGATGTGGCTCTTCAGGCCAACAGCTCATGGACTCCTTACTTTGAATGTTCCCATTGGTCCTTTGTTACTACATCTCACCAAGTCTTATATCAGTCAGAGTGAAGTTTGCATACTGTAGAAGTGACTCCCTCTTGTAGAGTAGACTTAACAAACTGACCCCTCTGTCCTAACCTTGTGACGATTGCACAGAGCAGATGTTCTCACTTTACTCGTAATTTCCTCTCTCTCTGCACATGGTGTGGCTCCAGGCGGGGCATGAAGATGAACATCTAATGATTCCCTGGCCTTTTAGTGCAAACCAAAGCTCAGTTTTAGCTCAAAGTTGGATCGGGACAAATACCACACACGCGTCTCCTCCCTTTTGTCATTGGGAGAGTTCTTGTCTTTTTTTTGTTGCTCTGCTTGCGGAGGCTTAAGGGTCTATTCATATTCAGATTTAAGCTATTCATTTTCATGTGGACCCTTCATGCATGCGGGGACTGCCTGAAGCTTCACGATGGTCTAGATTTGCCACTTTGGCAAATTTCCTTCAATGGGACCCCTTTCATGGCCCTCTGTCAGGGTTTGGATAATTGTATTATGCCTCTCTTTTGTTCGGGTCATTTTGAGTGGTTTTTCCACCTCACAAAGCTCAAACATCTGCTATCTAGGCCATGCACGTTTCTGTGTTGATGTAATGCCGCATACCCTCTCTGGCTCTCCTACTCTTCTCTTTTCCTCACAAGTCTCTCCCAGGCCTCCGCCCAAAGACCAAACCTCTATCAGATGGACTCTATATTTTTGGGGTTTCGTTCTCCGTACAATTTGTGCCGCGTCAGTCTGTTCGTTCAGGATTTAGTTTGGACTGTTAATAGTAATACTTATGGGTTAGTGTATTATCTTCATAATATTAAAATAAAATAAAGGCTCTGTTCCCGACCTAGTGAGCTGCTTTGACAGCAATTTGTAGCAAGACAGTTGACTGAAGTTATTCATTACATAAATGAGAGTATAGTATTTATTTGGAGTGAAAGCAGCTATTAAGAGTCCTGTACAGTTTTTGCAAATTAGAAGTGACGTGGCAGCTACCAATAGGAGTTTGTCTGATACAGCTGGTTGTTGCAGTTGAGTAAAAACCCTTTTACTTTATATGTTACTGATTTGAAACACTCTACATAGGCAGCTTTGTGTGCCATACAAATATCCCTATTTATACAAACCTCAGAGGAAACTCACACGAGTTTAGCATTAGCATTTTGCAATTAGCTAACAATGCAGTTCTCCAAGCATAAAAAACTTGTGTACAATAATTGATAGAACTATTTTTAACCTGTACTTTTATTGAATTGATTTTCCACCATATTAAATGGATGTTTTTCATTGAGTTTGTTGTAGTGCATTCTGGGATTACCTTCTGCAAAGGACACATGTCATTCCGCTTTAAGGTGTGGTCACTTTTACGCGTGTACACCAAATTTCTGCAGGTGAAATGCAGTCATCTCAATAAGGAGCATCATGATCTGGAATTTTGCAAGTAGAAAGGTTTGCCAAAATGGATATAGTTTATCAGATCCGATTCAAGTTTGTTGAATTGCATTGACCAATGTAAAGCTGCTTAGTTTGGAAGTGGCGTTAAAGTAAGCGATGCTTCATACATCGCTATACTATTGATAATGGACAATGGACTTTCCTTGCCAGTTTTGCCAATGTGAACACACCTTTAGGATTTAACCAAAAGGCAGCATTTTAGAATGCAACATAATCATCTACACACTTTTAGAACAGCCTACAATGCCTTAAAATGCTTTCTACGTAGGCAGCTTGCAAGATTTTGGAGCCATAGTGTCGGAATATGGTCTTTCATTTGTGCTATTTACCCATTTCTGTAAGTTGAAAAAGTCCTGGCATGCCTTTGACCCATTTTAGAGCTTAAGTATCCAAATGTATGCATGCCACATCAGAGATGGCTTTTGTCATGGTCATTAAGAACATGCATATCAATAAAGTATTACAGCAATTCCATTCAACCTTGGATCTGCTTATCATTGTTCTTGAGCTTTTGTTTTGCCATACACATGTATACCACTAGCTCGCCGTGAATCTGATTAATCCAGACTTTTATACTTCTTAGAGGAGGGAACTACATGCAACATTTCCCTCACAATCAGACCTATTATTAGTGGTGGTTTTGGAAAATTCCTTAGTAATTGTAGAAAAGTACAGACTGTGAGGAAACTGGGAGGCGGAATAAAATGGGTTGAAATTAGCACTGTTTTTAGGCAGTGTGTAGTCCAATTTATTTAGAGCTGATCACTCACCCTGGAAGAGTGTCAGTCAGTACAGCAACATTTACTGACACAGCCTACAATCTGCCCTACAAACATGAACTGAGACTGCTGCTCTTTTTTTTTTTTTTTTCTCAAATACAATTACATCATTGTTACAGTGCCCAATGTGATATAGAGTCATATGACCCACTTTTCTTTTGTTTACTGTCCTGGAATTTGTGGAGAATGAATCTAATTACTGACTCTTTTCATTCAGAAGCAATATCCTGTTTGTTTTCTATCAAGAATCAAAACATAAATGTTATGGTCCCCAGTATAGACTGTTAACACTGAGGAATTTCTTCTGTCGACAACTGACGCCTCCATCAATAAAAATGAATTTGCTGCAAAGCAGAATGATTCAACTGACTATGTGCTGGTGGGTTGTGACTGAAAAAAATGGAACCTAGGTTTGTTATGAAAGTTCTGCACTGTAGGGGAAAACAATGGTACAGGCTATTAATAAAATGCAACTAACTATATACTCATGTATAGTTAAACCTAACCTTTTTAAAAATCTTTTCTAATGTGTATGTGAATTGATAGTGATATCAATATTAATACACCTCAAAGTTTCATTGTAAGAACATTATTTACTTATGTTTGAATAGCAAGTTTGGGACTGTGCTGGGTCAACACCTTGTGTCCAAGTAAAAAAATCTGGGTCCTAAAGCAATACCAGTGGGGAAAACGTGTTTGTTTTTTGTTTTTTAATATAAATGTCTCCTAGTTTTGCCCAGAATTTACTGATACACTGGCGTGACCATCATTGACGATTCCCAACTCTAAACCATGCATTGCCTGTCATCTTATCAGAGCATATAACAAAGTGCTCTCAATTTAGCATCAGTTTTTTAATAAGGTCTAGATGGTTGAAGTAAATTGCTTATACAGATTCAGTAGATCAGTGAAGACTGGTGCCTAATTGCAAATAAAAGTTTTGCTTTGTTAAACCTTTAAAACCTGAATATTTTCTCTCTGTTCTCAGTTATGCTCTGGCAGATGAGGCCTACCGGTCCCTGCGAGATCAAGATAAAGACCAGTGCATTCTCATCACTGGAGAGAGCGGGGCAGGAAAAACTGGTAAGACCTCTTAAAAATACTTAAACACGAGTCAAGCTAATCAGTGACTAACTAACATTAGTGATGCTTCAACTTTGATATGTTTAAATTGGATTAATCTGCAATCTAAAGCAATGATTTAGATTAAATTAGTTTTGCAGACTAACATACCTCTTTGAAGTGTGCTGTCCATCTGTGTTGGAGCGTTTTCAAAAATGCATTTAGATTCTTCATGTGTCAAACTGTTCATCTGCTGTTGGGACTCGGATCAAAATCTACAAATGGGGAACAGGTGCTGTGTTTCTGATCATTTATGAGCCAATCATTACTGTATTCAGTGTTTTCATTCGGCTCCCATCCAGTGTTTACATATGGATACTATTTCATATTCTCCCTTTTGAGACCCTTTCCTTTGTGTTTTAATAGAAAATTGCTAATTGTTTAGAATCGGAGTATTTAAGTTGTGCCTGCCTATCAGTCTTTACAGAAGAAACATTTGCTTTAGACCAAGTAGAGATGATCAAACAATGAATGACCTACAGATTTTAAAGTGAGGAAATATAAACACAATTTTTTATTTTAGTTTTTGAATTGCAAGTGTTCATCTAACAAGCAAGTATAATATTGTGATTTTCTGACTTGAAATTTGCTCGAGTTTGTTCATGTCAGCTCAGCTCTATTATGTTCTTTTGGAAGAAGCTGTTTAATTACTTTAAAAATGCTGAAGTTTAACCACAGCCATTTAGCAGTACAAAACTGGACTCCTCTTGGTTTAAAATGGGCATCTTACTGTGCCAACCATTCAAATCCAGGACATCCAACAGTCAAGGCAATGAGATAAATGGGGATTGTGGTAATCCACATACTCGGGTCACTGTGTTAATTTCAAAATGCTCTTCTGCACTAATGAAAATCTACCCTTGCTTAGAAATAAATGAAATTGGTCTCTCTTATTCAGTGTTCAGGTCCTATGCTAAAAGCTATATAAAATGAGGAGTTATAGCATTATTTTCTATCTGCTTGATTATCGCTCTGCCATCCCTTCATGTATTAGGTTTGATCAAAATGTTTCATACTTTAAGTCCTGTGAATTGAGCAGAATCCCAAAATAGCCATAAATCTCTCAAACATAAGTGGGCATCCTTCCCTTCAGAAAACATTTCATATTTGCACTTCTGTGCACAAGTCCCTGCTCTCAGGTCCAGACATGGGAAAGTCATTAAGCGTCGAACAAGATAAATCTTACACAGCCGTTCATGCCAAGTAGATTAAAATCATTCCATGTAAAAACTAAAACAGAGTTTGAACAGTAATAAAAATAATAATGATAATCACTAGTTTAACATAATTAGGGCAGGCTTTTACACTATTCCACTTATTATTATTATATATATTTTTTTATTTACTAAATGAACTAAAAGAAGACATTTTTTAAATCTTTTTATTATTATTTTTTTTTTTCCCACTACAAGTTATATTTGCCATACTGGACATTGATGCACAGGCCTTCCCCTATATTTGAGTTGTCCTGTCATCTCTTCATAATTCATAGTATCAGCTCTTTAAACAGCTGATCTCATAGTTTGCATTGAAAGAATGAGGGAGTTTGGGTTCTCATGTGAGGTGGGAAAGGCGTTTGCTCCCTGGAGGATGGGTAGAGTTGATGTAAAGGGGATTTTTGGGGTGAGGTCTCGTCTAGAAGATGACCCCTGACCTCATTATTATGTGGTCTGTTTTTCAGAGGCTAGTAAGTTTGTGATGTCATATGTGGCGGCAGTGTGTGGGAAGGGCCAGGAGGTGAACAAAGTGAAGGAGCAGCTGCTTCAGTCCAATCCCGTGCTTGAGGGTGAGTCTTTCACATCTTCTGTTTTTGTACCAATTACCTTGTCTATGTCATTTCACACCTTTAAGACATCAGGTTACTTGTCTGGCCTTAAAACTGATGTGACATCCGATGTGCTTGAATGTATCAGGAGGTCAATTAATAGAAAATTGGGTGGCAGATCATTTCACCTTCTTGAAGGCAAGTTTGGGAGCAGATGATTCGAGACCTACATCATATGAGTGTTCCCATAATCTTGCCCCACTTTCAACTTAATGGGCCAAAAGCATCTTGGTCCCTGTTGGCAATCAGACAGCTGTGTTTTTATGTGGGGCCATGAACAGGAAATGCCCATAAGCAATGAGATTGAGATGGAGTAGGAATGCCCAGTGCTTCTTGGCAGCAGGACTCAGAGCATAGTGAAGTCCCACATCTGTGAGCGTTTAGCTGCTGGAAGTAATGAGCCCCACACTGGGGGTCCTGCACATTTCCTGGTGCATGTTTCTCTACCATAGACTCTCTGTATATATGCAGTTTATATATAGGGAGATTGTGTTCAGAAGGAAAATGTGAAAATTTGTTATATTTAATGTTGTAATAATGAATAATAAAGTTTCTTTATTGTCGTTTTTGGTTCCATGAAGAACCTTTAACAAATTTTTCATTGAGCAAAATGTTCTTTATAATGGAAAAAGGTTTTTTAGACTTTAAATAAAAATATTTTAATCCTCACTCTAAGAAAAAAAAAAAGGTTATTTTAAGCACTCTTCACTGAAAGTTTCTTTGGAGAACCAAAATTGGTACTTCTATGGCATCACTGTGAAAACCCCATTATAAAACCTTTATTTTTAAGTATGGTTAATGGAAATTTCAGTAGAATCTTGTTTTTCTCTCTTTCGCTGGAGAAAAAAATGGCTGTCAAACTAAATATGACTTTTTTGTATGCAGATTTCCCATGCATGATCATTGAAAACTTCAGGGAAATTTTTTAATTCCCTGTAGAAAATCATGGCAATTCCCTGAAAAAATATCATGACAATTAACAAATCCTAAAAAGACTATAGACTAGGGCTGCACGATTAACTACACAGCAGCATTAACTACACAGAGCCGTTGTTCACTGACGAGCTGCGCCAAACCACGTTCATATTCGCGCGATTTTTAGCGCAGCTCCTCAGTGAACAACGGCTCTGTGTAGTTAATGCTGCTCAATGTGAAAGCCCGCAGGTGATGGAGATTTACCGCTGATTACAGAACCGGCTTTCTGACAAGATGCGCGTTAAATATCGCATGCGATTAATCGTGCAGCCCTACTATAGACTATGGTATAGAGTTTCTATACCAAGGCTAGTATATATACAGGTGCATCTAAAAAAAATTAGAATATCGTGGAAAAAGTTCATTTTTTGTAACATTTCAAAAAGTGAAACTTTCATATATTCTAGATTCATTACATGTAAAGTAAAACATTTAAAAAATATATATATATTTTTAAATTTTTATTTTCATGATTAGAGCTTACAGCTCATAAAAGTCAAAAATCCAGTATCTCAAAATATTAGAATATTTACATTTCAGTTGTATTATATGACCATCCCTACAGAATAAATTCCGGGTATAAGATGCGCGTTAAATATCGCATGCGATTAATCGTGCAGCCCTACTATAGACTATGGTATAGAGTTTCTATACCAAGGATAGTATATATACAGGTGCATCTAAAAAAAATTAGAATATCATGGAAAAAGTTCATTTTTTGTAACATTTCAAAAAGTGAAACTTTCATACAGTATATTCTAGATTCATTACATGTAAAGTAAAACTTAAAAAAAAAAAAAAATTATTTTGATGATTAGAGCTTACAGCTCATAAAAGTCAAAAATCCAGTATCTCAAAATATTAGAATATTTACATTTCAGTTGTATTATATGACCATCCCTACAGAATAAATTCCGGGTATCTCTTGTTCTTTGAAACCACAATAATGGGGAAGACTGCTGACTTGGCAATGGTCCAGAAGATGATCATTGACACCCTCCACAAAGAGGGTAAGTCACAGAAGGGCATTACTGAAAGGGGTGGCTGTTCACAGAGTGCTGTATCAAAGCATATTAAATGCAAAGTTGACTGGAAGGAAGAAATTGGGTAGGAAAAGGTGCACAAGCAACAGGTATTCTAGATTCATTACATGTAAAGTAAAACATTTAAAAAATATATATATATTTTTAAATTTTTATTTTCATGATTAGAGCTTACAGCTCATAAAAGTCAAAAATCCAGTATCTCAAAATATTAGAATATTTACATTTCAGTTGTATTATATGACCATCCCTACAGAATAAATTCCGGGTATCTCTTGTTCTTTGAAACCACAATAATGGGGAAGACTGCTGACTTGGCAATGGTCCAGAAGATGATCATTGACACCCTCCACAAAGAGGGTAAGTCACAGAAGGGCATTACTGAAAGGGGTGGCTGTTCACAGAGTGCTGTATCAAAGCATATTAAATGCAAAGTTGACTGGAAGGAAGAAATTGGGTAGGAAAAGGTGCACAAGCAACAGGGATGACCGCAAGCTTGAGAATACTGTCAAGCAAAGCCGATTCAAACACTTGGGAGAGCTTCACAAAAAGTGGACTGAAGCTGGAGTCAGTGCATCAAGAGTCGCCACGCTCAGACGTCTTCAGGAAAAGGGCTACCAAGCCACTTCTGAAACAGAAACAACGTCAGAAGCATCTTACCACGGCTAAGAGGAAAAATAACTGGACTGTTGCTCAGTGGTCCAAAGTCCTCTTTTCAGATAAAAGTACATTTTGCATTTCATTTGGAAATCAAGGTCTAGAGTCTGGAGGAAGACCGGAGAGGTACAGAATCCAAGCTGCTTAAAGTCCAGTGTGAAGTTTCTGAAGTCGGTGATGATTTGGGGTGCTGTGACGTCTGCTGGTATTGGTCCATTGTGTTTTATCAAGTCCAAAGTCAATGCAGCCGTCTACCAGGAGATTTTGGAGCATTTCATGCTTCCATCTGCTGACAAGCTTTATGGAGATGCTGATTTATTTTTCCAGCAGGACTTTATCAGCTGCCCACAGTGCTAAAACCATTTCAACAAGTGGTTTGCAGACCATGATATTACTGTGCTTGATTGGCCAGCCAACATGCCTGACCTGAACCCCATATGGAATCTATGGGATATTTTCAAGAGAAAGATAAGAAACAGTGGATCCGAGCTGAAGGCTCAATAGTGCCTCAGTAGTGCCACAGGCTGATCGCTTCATGCCACACCTCACTGATTCTGGAGTTTGTGCTAAAGGAGCCCGGCCAAGTATTGAGTGCAGAAATGAACATAAAGAACTAGAACTTTTCTGTTTTGCAAATCCTTTTTTTGATTGATCTGAGGAAATATTCTAATATTTTGAGATACTGGATTTTTGACTTTCATGAACTGTAAGCTCTAATCATCAAATTTAAAACACAAAAACTTTTGAAATGTTTTACTTTACAGGTAATGAATCTAGAATATATGACGTTTCCATTTTTGAAATAAGTTACAAAACAAATGAACTTTTTCACGATATTCTAATTTTGAGATGCACCTGTGTATGTGTGTGTGTGTGTGTGTGTGTGTGTGTGTGTGTATATATATATATATATATATATATATATATATATATGTATATGTATAAAGGGATCTAAAATAGTGTACTGCTATGACTGTAATGCCATTTCTATTAAAACTTGTATGTCATGTATTTAAATATATTTGTAATTACACATTAAATTATATGTTAGTCAACGCATCAAATAAGTATACTTTAAAGCACAAGAAAAGATTGGTAACACACCTTATTTTAAGGTGTCCCTGTTACAGTGTAATTATACATTTAAGTACTGAGTAATAATTAACTACATACAATATGCTAGTGCTAATAACCAACTGCTTCCTAAAGTGGAAGGTTGCATTATGGGATACATTATTCTGTGCATTGTGCTGGTTTGTATACTGCGAATGTATTAGGTCATCTGGATATTTCATGCATGCAGAACACAGTATTACAGAACGCAGTATTACATATCATGTACTAGAGTAATATTTTTGGAACATAGCCTTTTTTGAAAACAAACAAATGTTCTGAAAGCACATTGGAATATTAATTTATTGTGTTGTCAGCTTGTAGCTCAAAAAGTAAAGCATGGCACTGGCAATGCCAAGGTCATGGGTTCAGTTGATAAAATGTAAACCTTGAGCGCAAATTAAACTGCTTAGGATCATTTTATCTGCCAAATCTATAAATGTCAATTCTATACAGTGTCCATTAGAGTTAACTAAGATACTCATTAATGTTTAAAATGGACGCATTATTGAAGGACATGCGGAATTGTTTTTATTTGTAACTTTAGGCCGTCTAAGTATCTTATGCTCCATGAATATGATGAAAGGTACCTGAGAGGATTCAGGATAATTTTTCCACAAGATGACATCAGTCAAAGTAGAAATGTAGTGCTGAATGAATCTGGCTTGACTAACTTACAACATGTTATTCCACTGCAGCTTTTGGGAACGCCAAAACCGTGAGGAATGACAACTCGTCTCGATTTGTGAGTATTTCTTTCTTTTTCCAGACAGAATATTTTACGAGTGTTTTGATGCTGCTCCTCCCTCTAGAGTGTGTTTGCTTTAGATTAGATCAACATGGACTTTTGATCCGTAATGTGAACACAGGCAAATGATTCTATTACTTTCTGTCAGCCCACCCCTAAAGTGATGCAATGCTTTTCTTGGGAGTTTGATTTTGCAAAAATTATACTGCAACATTCCTGGTTTGCTTTGTGTTCTGTTGCTTATGGACCGGCCTTGAGCACATCTGGCCCTATTCTGACACTCTAACACTAGAGTGATTGCTCTTCGTGCGTATAGCCAGATTCAAACAGAACTCTGTGTAACCTCTCTGGCAACCACCTCCAGATGCCTTTGAGTCGGTTCTTTTTTTTCCCCCTGTTGTCCATGAGGACAGGCTCCCACAATGCCATTCAGCACAGAGATTAGCACAGTTAATATCTCCGTTTATGCAAATGTGTTTAATGCCGCTGCTCTTTGACAGTCTGGCCCTTTTCCAGCTGTCCGTCACAGCCTGACCACACAAAGTAAAGATATACTGAGCTATAGAGTGTGTACTTACAGAGGTTAGAGACCACACAGCATTGTCCAGCGTGTGCTTTCAGAGGTTCAACAGAGGTGCTGTTCAGTTTACATAACAGGGAGACATTTTACAATAGTCAGCACCTTGGTTAGGATGCAGCCTTTGAAGACAGCAAGCCAGCTCGACAGGGTTTGGAACGGAACCATCTCTAATTTCTAAATTGATGGCATGTTAACACCTTGAGATTTGGAATTTCGTAATAATGTTTTGCATCCCAAGCACC